ATATATATAGTAGTTACAGCCCCAGCAGTTACTGTACTTTATAAATAAAAGTAATTATTTCCCACTCTTTAAAAGTAACTACAATAGTTATATTTTAGTTACTTCTTAAAAACTGCATGCTGTTAAGTCGATGACCAATGGTATTTATATTTATTTATTTATTTATTCCATTTATATCCTGCCTATCTGGTCTTGTGACCACTAACATCTTACTGGGAATTTATAAGACAGCTGTCTTAAGGTTTCTGTCCAGCAAAAAAGTGTGAGCAGTAAAAGTAAAGCTTGTCTGATATTTCTCCGCCATCATTTAGGGAAGCCACAACCCTAAAATTAACATTTAAGCATTCCGGATACACTGCAGAAGGCATGATGTTAATCACTCGTGAAGTTACAGGTGTGATGGAATGTTATGTCTTTGATATCGGGAAGAAGAATAAAGTAGCATATTATTTTTAAGTAGTTGCTTCCAAGTCTTGGGATCCTAACATCTTACTGGGAATGTATATGGCAGCTGTTTTAAGGTTTCTATCCAGCAAAAAAGTGTGAGCAGTAAAAGTAAAGCTACCGTGTGGACTGAGCTTATTCAGAAACAAATGTCACAGAATTCAGTAAGAAGTTATTTCCCTGTTAACTGTGCCAAGTATTATGGAGTAAATCTTCCTTTGGCCTTGAAAGATGCTTTGGACTTTCTTCCTTAAGCTTTCCTAATTGGCATTAGCTGGTTGCAGGTGATTAACTTGAAGTTAAATGAGGCCTGCCTTTAAACATGCTTTCCCAGACTTTAAAACAGAGTGAGGAGAGGAAACTTTATACTGTTGAGACATTGGAACAGAGCCAAAGTCAGTGGTTAATAAAGTGGATCCAAGTTTTGATCCAGCTTTGTTTACACGTCCGCCTACTCCGGATGACAGATTCTTTCTTTCTTGACTCTAAAAGCATGTTACCTTGGGGTCTTTTTAACAGTATGTTGTTTCCCTGTTTGAGATTATTGTAAAACTTACAAAATAGTGAGCTTAAGAGCGAGTAGCTTGTTCCATCGGTTATTTTAAGGAGACTAAACTGCTTTCGTGCCTTTGTGTTTGTTTTTTTGTTTTTAAATAAAGCCTTGTTTCTGTTGTGTTATGCTTGTACTACAGGCTCAGGGATAAAGGCCATGTTTGAAAAGAAAAATGTATACAGATCTGTTTATAGAGAACAATAGCATAGTCAGATTTTGTCAAAGAAAGAAAAAGAGTGATGCTGCTTTTTGAATAATGCTTAGGCTAGGACTTTGGTGAGCCCATATGAGGCGGACAGGTATCCCGTGAAAGCAGAGAGATGCCAAGAATGGCTGCCCAGATCCCTTGAATGCTAAAATTATTAGATCGATGAGGACAGCGAATTGGGGGAACATCATGAGTAGCCCATGTCATTCACAGCATTGGGAGTCCTACTGAGCGTGCAAGGTGGCTTACAGTATAATTTTTTGACAAGGTACAATCAAAAATTATAAATCTTAAAATATAATTAAATCAATTATGTTAAAAACAACACAGTTGAAACACATTTTAAAACCTCGGCTAAAATAATCGTTGCAATTAAAAATAGCAAAGTGCAGCACATCCATTAATGCCCCTCACGCTAGTACTTCATCAGTAGCCAAAGTCTTGCTGAATAAAAAAAAGGTTTTGTGTGCCATGGAGATTTTTCAACCTTTTGGGGGAAATAAAATCTGAGATGGTCTGTTTGTTCATCTCCAGCTTTACCTGTCACAGAGTAAAGCAGCACTTGGCATTGCATGGCAAATAAACATAGTCCCTAAAGGAATTCCTCTCTGTGGGATATCCCCCTCTCCTAACAATGGCCATTTGATGTCCCATTAACCATGTGTAAAGCCCTTGCTGCAAATTTTTGCAAGTTTGCAGCTCTGGTTGCATGCAGTAGATCTCGATGTTTCACCATCTATTACGTGAAAAGAGAGATAGCAAGAAGCTGAGGGCAAGCAAACCTAGGTTTCCAGAAATACAAAAATAAAAACACTTTAGGTGGGGGAGGAGGACCCTAAAGGGAACAGAGCGGCATAGTAAGAACAGAGCATGCTCAGTGGACATGACCATGCTGGCTTGAGTAGAGGAAGTAAGCAGGGGGATGGAGAGTCATGCACAGCTAGCTGCTGGAATCCTCAGCAGGGTCATACTCTGCATGGCAACATTTAGTTGCACTTACCAAATTTGCATCAAAGGCCAGGTGTTCCCACCATGATTCTGTAAAGACCCGCTTGCAAGAGTTAATAACTTGTCTATACTTTGGTTTACTATAGTTGCATCTAGGCTAATGCTGGCATTTATGCTTGCCTTCCCCTTCCAGCACTGCATTTTGGAGTTTCATTGTGTCACCAGATCTATTGACTTCTAGGACAATCTTGTTGTTGATAGAAAATAATGACTGTGACTTGGTTTCTTGAAGGCACATGAAGCCGAATCTGTAACTATGTTGGTCTATATTGTTGATCTGGATGAGATGCTATTTAAAACCAGACAGAGGTAGAAGAACCTCTTTGGGAATTTCACACTATTTTCAGACAAAGGTGTAAAATAGAAAGTCAGAGGTATTTGTACATTCCTGGGGAACCTCAAAGTGGTGCAGAGAGGTCAGTGGCAGTCATCTTTCATGAATCTGGCATGTTAAATCTGGCATTCCTGGGGTTAAATGTGCTGACATAAAAAAGACACCAGGAAAGGGAGGAAAGGGAAGGAAAAACTAAGGAAGATAGTACAGTAAGCTGGTGTCAACAGAGGAGGAGAATATGTTCCTTGTCAAAGAAATGGCCTGGCCTTGCCTGGCCTGCTGCAACGGCATTGATTAAGTCGTCAAAGTCTGTACTGAACCCTCTGGTGCAGTGGTTAAATTGCAGTACTGCCAGTCAAGTACTGCTCGTGACCCAAGTTCTATCCTGACGGGTTTAGGTAGCCAGTTCAAGGTTGACTCAGCCTTCCATCCAAGGTTGGTAAATTGAGTACCCAGCTTGCAGTGGGGAAACCATGTGTAGCCTGCATAGTTAAATTGCAAACTGCCCAGAGAGTGTTTTCAAGATGGAAGGTTGCGTGAATCTTGAGCCAGTTACCCGAGATTGATCCTGTGTTGTGAGCAGAGTTTTGGCTGCAGTACTGCAGTTTAACCACGGCACCACAAGGCTTCTGTCAAAACAACAACAACAACAACAACAACAACAACAACAACAACAACAACAACAACAACAACAACAACAACAACAATGCTATTTAATGCAGATTTGCTTCCGCATTTATCCAGCATCCTGCACTCTCACAGCCACAGGTAATAATAATAATAATGCTGTTTAATGCAGATTTGCTTCCACATTTATCCTGCACTCTCACAGCCACAAGGTAGCAACAGGCAGGAGCTCCGGGACCACTGATTTCAGATGCAGGGAAGAGGAGGAGGCAGAAGAAGGAAGAGAAAAAAGATGGAAAACGTAGAGATAGAACTGGAAAGGTTTTTTTGCCTTTCTTTTTTTCAACAAACTGTTTTTCCCCCTTGAGCAAACCTTTCATAGCTTGGGTTGAGGACAGCTCTTTCATCTTGTTGAAGTGGAAACCTGGAGGTTTATACGTATGTGTGTGTTTGTTGTGGTCAAGTATTATAAGCCAAAGGCTGCTGCAAGGTTCATGATCCCATTGGTTGTATGCTCAAATCAGCAGCAGGAACTATATATTTTTTTAAAAAAGATTTAGCATACTTTTGGCTTCCAAAATTTCCACAAACATTTTTTTTTAAAAAAATCATTAGCAACAGAACTAAACTAAGAGTCCAACTTAAACAAGGCTGCTGAAGCTGGTTTAGATCAGTAAAAGCTTCAGCACATCTAACCAAAATAGACGGTGACTTAATTTTTTAAAAAGGAGAATAAACAAGTAAGCTGTTACGTGACTCAGAATTCAGATATTCTTCATCTGGTCCTGGCTAGGTTATAGATTCCATCTTTTTAATTCTGCTTTTGGTTTTCCCCCCCGTCTTAGGGAGCCAAGGCCTGTTTTCTTCGTGACATTCCCTTCTCTGCCATTTACTTCCCCTGCTATGCTCACACAAAGTCTGCTTTCGCGGGTGAAGATGGGCGGGTCGGCCCGGGATCTTTGCTTTTAGCTGGAGCAATAGCTGGTAAGTAACAGGTTTTGTTGTAATACCCCTTCACCTGTCTGCCTTTGGAGGCCTGAAACAGATTGGACAATAGAACTGGGCAGGCATTATCTAGTTTATAAATCTTAAAATATAATTAAATCAATTATGTTAAAAACAACACAGTTGAAACACATTTTAAAACCTCGGCTAAAATAATCGTTGCAATTAAAAATAGCAAAGTGCAGCACATCCATTAATGCCCCTCACGCTAGTACTTCATCAGTAGCCAAAGTCTTGCTGAATAAAAAAAAGGTTTTGTGTGCCATGGAGATTTTTCAACCTTTTGGGGGAAATAAAATCTGAGATGGTCTGTTTGTTCATCTCCAGCTTTACCTGTCACAGAGTAAAGCAGCACTTGGCATTGCATGGCAAATAAACATAGTCCCTAAAGGAATTCCTCTCTGTGGGATATCCCCCTCTCCTAACAATGGCCATTTGATGTCCCATTAACCATGTGTAAAGCCCTTGCTGCAAATTTTTGCAAGTTTGCAGCTCTGGTTGCATGCAGTAGATCTCGATGTTTCACCATCTATTACGTGAAAAGAGAGATAGCAAGAAGCTGAGGGCAAGCAAACCTAGGTTTCCAGAAATACAAAAATAAAAACACTTTAGGTGGGGGAGGAGGACCCTAAAGGGAACAGAGCGGCATAGTAAGAACAGAGCATGCTCAGTGGACATGACCATGCTGGCTTGAGTAGAGGAAGTAAGCAGGGGGATGGAGAGTCATGCACAGCTAGCTGCTGGAATCCTCAGCAGGGTCATACTCTGCATGGCAACATTTAGTTGCACTTACCAAATTTGCATCAAAGGCCAGGTGTTCCCACCATGATTCTGTAAAGACCCGCTTGCAAGAGTTAATAACTTGTCTATACTTTGGTTTACTATAGTTGCATCTAGGCTAATGCTGGCATTTATGCTTGCCTTCCCCTTCCAGCACTGCATTTTGGAGTTTCATTGTGTCACCAGATCTATTGACTTCTAGGACAATCTTGTTGTTGATAGAAAATAATGACTGTGACTTGGTTTCTTGAAGGCACATGAAGCCGAATCTGTAACTATGTTGGTCTATATTGTTGATCTGGATGAGATGCTATTTAAAACCAGACAGAGGTAGAAGAACCTCTTTGGGAATTTCACACTATTTTCAGACAAAGGTGTAAAATAGAAAGTCAGAGGTATTTGTACATTCCTGGGGAACCTCAAAGTGGTGCAGAGAGGTCAGTGGCAGTCATCTTTCATGAATCTGGCATGTTAAATCTGGCATTCCTGGGGTTAAATGTGCTGACATAAAAAAGACACCAGGAAAGGGAGGAAAGGGAAGGAAAAACTAAGGAAGATAGTACAGTAAGCTGGTGTCAACAGAGGAGGAGAATATGTTCCTTGTCAAAGAAATGGCCTGGCCTTGCCTGGCCTGCTGCAACGGCATTGATTAAGTCGTCAAAATCTGTACTGAACCCTCTGGTGCAGTGGTTAAATTGCAGTACTGCCAGTCAAGTACTGCTCGTGACCCAAGTTCTATCCTGACGGGTTTAGGTAGCCAGTTCAAGGTTGACTCAGCCTTCCATCCAAGGTTGGTAAATTGAGTACCCAGCTTGCAGTGGGGAAACCATGTGTAGCCTGCATAGTTAAATTGCAAACTGCCCAGAGAGTGTTTTCAAGATGGAAGGTTGCGTGAATCTTGAGCCAGTTACCCGAGATTGATCCTGTGTTGTGAGCAGAGTTTTGGCTGCAGTACTGCAGTTTAACCACGGCACCACAAGGCTTCTGTCAAAACAACAACAACAACAACAACAACAACAACAACAACAACAACAACAACAACAACAACAACAACAACAACAATGCTATTTAATGCAGATTTGCTTCCGCATTTATCCAGCATCCTGCACTCTCACAGCCACAGGGTAGCAACAGGCAGGAGCTCCGGGACCACTGATTTCAGATGCAGGGAAGAGGAGGAGGCAGAAGAAGGAAGAGAAAAAAGATGGAAAACGTAGAGATAGAACTGGAAAGGTTTTTTTGCCTTTCTTTTTTTCAACAAACTGTTTTTCCCCCTTGAGCAAACCTTTCATAGCTTGGGTTGAGGACAGCTCTTTCATCTTGTTGAAGTGGAAACCTGGAGGTTTATACGTATGTGTGTGTTTGTTGTGGTCAAGTATTATAAGCCAAAGGCTGCTGCAAGGTTCATGATCCCATTGGTTGTATGCTCAAATCAGCAGCAGGAACTATATATTTTTTTAAAAAAGATTTAGCATACTTTTGGCTTCCAAAATTTCCACAAACATTTTTTTTTAAAAAAATCATTAGCAACAGAACTAAACTAAGAGTCCAACTTAAACAAGGCTGCTGAAGCTGGTTTAGATCAGTAAAAGCTTCAGCACATCTAACCAAAATAGACGGTGACTTAATTTTTTAAAAAGGAGAATAAACAAGTAAGCTGTTACGTGACTCAGAATTCAGATATTCTTCATCTGGTCCTGGCTAGGTTATAGATTCCATCTTTTTAATTCTGCTTTTGGTTTTCCCCCCCGTCTTAGGGAGCCAAGGCCTGTTTTCTTCGTGACATTCCCTTCTCTGCCATTTACTTCCCCTGCTATGCTCACACAAAGTCTGCTTTCGCGGGTGAAGATGGGCGGGTCGGCCCGGGATCTTTGCTTTTAGCTGGAGCAATAGCTGGTAAGTAACAGGTTTTGTTGTAATACCCCTTCACCTGTCTGCCTTTGGAGGCCTGAAACAGATTGGACAATAGAACTGGGCAGGCATTATCTAGTTAGGAAAGGAATGGCAACACAGAGCTTATCCAGCAATGAGATTTATTTATTTGTTGCATTTATATTTCACATTTTTCTTCTCGGAGTTCAGGGTTATTGTACATGGTCCTTTTGCCCATATTTATGCTTACAACAATGCTTTGAGGCAAGTTAGATTTTGAGCTAATGACTGGCCACTGGTGTCCCAGTGAGCTTCGTTACCAAGCAAAAATTTGAACCCAGCTTTGCCCTGTCTTAGCTCAGCCCTCTGACCAGTACACTCCATTGGCTCTGCTCTGTTCTGTTGGTTGAATTGTCATACATATGGAACAATGATTTGGAGGTATCAAAATTCTGACTAAATATGTGATTTTTGGGGGCAGTAAGATGACTGAATTAAATCACACACGATGTGTTGAACAGTAAGATGACTGAATTAAATCACACACGGGGCTATGTGTTGAAATCACGGGTGCGTTTCTTCTGGTATCCAATCTCCGTATCTTCTTATTTCTGCCATATATGAAGTCTTATACATTACGGAACATGAGCGAAACAGAGATTTCTGAAATGAGGTTAAACCTATTCCTTCCCCAGTATAATAACCTGGCCATGATGAGGGAATTGGCAAGGGGTGTAAACCAAAGAGGAAGCAAGTCTTCACACAACTTGGAAATAATCAGTTAAAAATTGCAGAGTTACATGTTACTTGTTACTCTTATGAACACTAAGGTGTAACAGAGTTACATGGCAAAACAGTGCATCAAGTGGAGAGATGGCCACTTGTATAATAAGTGACATTTTTCAATTATCTAGGACCAGTACACTCCACTGGCTCTCAGTTGCTCTGTTGGTTGAATTGTCATACATATGGAACAATGATTTGGAGGTATCAAAATTCTGACTAAATATGTGATTTTTGGGGGCAGTAAGATGACTGAATTAAATCACACACGAGGCTATGTGTTGGAATCACAGGTGCTTTTCTTCTGGTATCAGATCTCCGTATCTTCCTATTTGTGCCCTATATGAAGTCTAATACATCACGGAACATGAGTGTGACAGAGATTTCTGAAATGAGGTTAGACCTATTCCTTTAATAACATGGCTATGATGGGGGAATTGGCAAGGGGTGTAAACCAAAAAAGCAAGTCTTCACACAACTTGGAAATACAGTTAAAGGTTGCAGAGTTACATGTTACTCATTACTGTTATGAACACTGAGGTGTAACAGAGTTACATGGCAAAACAATGTATCAAGTGGAGCCACTTCATTAGTATAATGACATTTTGGAATTATTCATAGCAATTTTAGAGGCATTTTGACAGGACATTTAAGGTTTATGTCATTCTCCTATCAATCCTACTGCCCATTTCCCAAAAGAAGTAATGGAAAGTAATGAGAAACTGACAAGCAATGCAACAAGAAATGTAACAAATTAATTTTTAAAACATTGCAAAGAGCAACTCCAAGGAGTAACGGGGAACAAATTGTTTTTTTAAAAAGTAACTTTCTAGGTTCTGTGTTTGATAGCTCATCCACCCTCTTGTATTTCTGATCACCATGTATGGGAGTGAAAGCTGGACAATTAAAGAAAACTGACAGGGGGGGAAATGAATTGTTTGAAATATGGTGCTGGAGGAGAACTTTGCAGGCGCCATGGATTGCCAGACAGACAGACAAATGGGTCCTATATCAAATCAAGCCTGAACTACTGTGTCTCTGGAGCAAAAATGTTGAAACAGCCTGCCTGATTTTAGGCATATCATGACAGAACAGGATTCTCTGGAAAAGACAGTTCTGGGAAAGATTGAAGGCAGTAGAAAAAGAGGAAAACCAAATATGAGGTGGATCGACTCCCTAAAGAAAGCACAGGCTTGAGTTTGCAAAAGCTGAGCAGGGCTGTTGAGGATACGACATTTTGGAGAGCACTACTCATAGGGCTGCTATGAGTCAAAGATGACTTGGTAACATAACAAAATTTGTGTAATATGCAGTGCGGAACCCATTGCCACACGACCTGAACATCTGTGGCTTTCTAAAAGTCTGAGCTGAATATTATATGGGGGACAGTAGTCATATGCTCCACTTTCAAAGACGATACAATCCTGGCTACTAGATGTGGGTGGTTAGTTGCAAGACTGTCAGTTGCTTTGTGCTGTGCTTATGCTGCACTCGGAAGCCCCCTTTAGCCCTTTGTAAAATGCTACTGGAGATTCATAGCCCTG